AAGAGTTGTATGAGCCCCTAATAAAATGATTAAAAAAAAAAAAAGAAATGAAGTTGAATTAAACTATTGCTTTCCTTAGATCTATGGGAAGTCTATAGAATTTGGATACTCTGTAAGGTATTAATGGTGAAACTAAGAGGGTATTCTTAAGGGGCTGTAGAATTATGGGCACATGGGATGAAAGAATGAGGTTTTCAATGGAAGAGAACAGTATGACAAGAAAAGAATGGCATTTTGAGTATTTCTTACAAGAAGAAATTGAGTCTATAACTATTTGACCAGGAAGACCTGCTTCTTGCAAAGGCATTCAACTGTGTGGATAGCACTGAGAAGGGTGAACATTCTAGACATCTTCAATGTGTTTGTGCAGAACCTGTCCAGCAATCAAGAGGCAGTTGTGCAAACAGAACAAGGGACTAGAGCATGCTTTAAAATCAGGAAAGGTGTGTGTCAGTGTGAGAAGGTTGTATCCTCTCACCACACTTGTTCAAACATTATTATTATTATTATTATTCAACATTCATATGCTGAGAAAATAATCAGAGAAGCTGGATCATAACAAGAAGAACACAGCATCAGGATTGGAGGAAGGCTTACTAACAACTTTCAATATGTAGGTGACCGTAACCCTGCTTGGTGAAAGTGAGGAGGACTTGAAGCACTTGCTGATGGAGGTCAAGGATTGTAGCCTTCAGTAAGGACCACGGCTTAATGTAACGAAAACAAAGATTCTCACAACTGGATCAATAGGTAATGTCATGATAACTGGAGAAGAGACTGAAGTTGTCAAAGATTTCGTCTTACTTAGATCTACAATCAATGTTCATGGAAACAGCAGCCAAGAGATCAAACAATGCATTGCATAGGGTAAGTCTGTAACTCGGCTGCACAAGACCTCTTTAAAGTGCTGAAGAGCAAGCATGTCACCCTGAAGACTAAGGAGCATGAGCAAAGCACTGGTATTTTCAGTCACCTCACATGCATGTGAAAGGTGGACACTGACCAAGGAAAACCGAAGACTCAACACAGATGAATGATGGTGCTGGCAAAGAATATTGACAGTGCCATGGGCTCCGAGAAGAACACACCGATCTGTCCTAAAAGCAGTAGTACAGGCTGAATGCTCCTTAGGTACAAGATGGTGAGAATTTGTCTCATGTGTTTTGGACATGTTCTCGGGACACCAGTCACCTGAGGTTGGTGAGATAGTTTATTGTGCCAGCCTGGCCAATAAACACAAGTGGGATTAACTGAAGGGCAGAGATAAATGCCTTGGTGAGTCTCCCCTTTCTTGTCTCTCGCTCTTTGATCATCGGATCAGTGTGCGGCTGCCTTGCTTGTCCTGTGCCTCAATTTAAAGGCTACACTACCTGTGGGACCCCTAGCCTGTGGACTGTGTCGCTGTAAGTTGAGGTCCCTTTAAGACATCGCTGGAGCTGGGGACTGGCAGTTGGTGACCTGGCTGGCAGTTGGTGACCTGCCTTCTGATTGGCTGCTGTGCTGACATAGCCTAGCTCTCTCTATAAATAGAGGAAGATCTGGCAGCAGACTGAGACTTGAAGGACTGCTAGTCTCTCACATCTCTCTCACGGCAGTGAGTTGAATTGAGCCATTTGCAGTGCTTTATAATTTAACTGTTTATTTCTTGTATTGTATATTTAACTGTATACGATTTAACAGTTCATTCCTTGTTATATATCTATCTTTATAAATAAATATATTAAATTATCAGCAATTTGGTTTTATCTCTCTAGAGAACCCTGTCTAACACAGTTGGCCATCACACTTGGTAGAAGGGCAGCATAAAAAGAGGAAGATACTGGACAAGATGGAGTGGCACAGTGGTCGCAACCAAGGCTCAAAACTAACCCTTGTGAGGGTGGTGTGGGACTGGGCATCGTTTTGTTCTGTTGCACATAAGGTCGAAATGAGTCTAAACTGATTTGATGGTACATAGCAAGAACAGCAAGAGATCTACAAGGCTGTTTTGAGAGGTTCTCAATTAAATGCCAATTTAATTGGAATCCTTTTGTTTGAGCTGCTATGTGAAAAATAGCTAGCTTATGAAATAGCCAAGACTCAGATGTGGTTGTTCTTAGCAGGTACCCTCAAGTAGTTACTGGATGACCTGGATCACCTGAAATTTGATATAATGGTGAGATGGAGTCAAAAAGTCTGTCACAGTCATGTGATGATCTGTACTTGGGGTCACTACACATGCATTTGTGTCCCTCTCTCTGCCCAAAGGGAGCCCTGGTGATGGCACAGTTGAATACTCAGCTACTAACTCAAAGCTGGCACCTAGAGCCTACTTAGTGGCTCCGTGTAAGACCTGGTTAACCTGCTTCTGTGAACACTGTGGCCAAGAAAACCCGATGGGGCAGCTCTCCTCGGTCATATGAGGTCCCTCTGTGGCAGAATCAAGTTGGCAACACACAACATCCACGAACCCCTGCCCAATGGACTTAGCTCTACGTTCTTCAAGTACATTCTCCTTCTTCCAATGTGTCGTCCATCTTTCTATGACATGGTCATTCATGTTCTGGTTACCAAAGTCTTTCTTTCTGATTTACAAAGACAGCCAAACTCACTGCCATTGGGTCGATGCCAACTCATAGCGACCCTGTAAGACAGGGTGGAACTGCCCTGCGGGATTCTGAGACTGTAACGCTAAAAGAGTAGAAAGCCCTGTCGTTCTCCCTCGTTCTTATTTAGAGGCTCTTAAAAGCAATGGGGAAAAAAACAAGGAGGAAAACCAAGGCCTCCTCTACTTCTTCCCACAGAGGCATTGCTGAAGTTCTAGGGTAGGTTCTGATGCCTCTTTCCTATGAGTATGTGAACATTTTATACACATACAAGATTGCTTATGCTACAGACAGTTTTTAAACTTGAAATTAGTCTTTTTAAAGTAATGTTTTAAATTATATTCTACTGTTTATTTGAAGAAGACGCACAGGGAGGTGAAAGAAAACTTCCTAAAGGACTTACCTTGCCATATCTTGCCTGAAGAGGTCCCACCGTCCAAGACCTGTGGGATAAATTGGCCAAACTGCAGGTCCCCCTTCCCAGAATGTCCAAGCAGGATACATGATATCGTGATACTCTGATGTCTTCAAGAGAAACAGAAATAGATCACTCTCAATCAGTCTTAAACTGCATCATGCCACCACATCATGCCACCGGACAAAGGCCTTGTCCTACTTCACCTCGCTGAAAACTTATTTCCCCTGGTATGTACAAAGTCTGGACTTTGAACATTAAAAGTCAAACGTGACCACAGATTCCAATGCAAGGTCTCCCTGAATTCCAGAACTGAAAATCACGGTAAAAATAAACCTTGTCAGTTCTCGAAGTTCCATTTTTCTAGAGGACACCCACACACACTGCTAGGGATTTTTAGTTGAAGGAAATAATATACCTAACCCTGAATGCCTTACCAAGTTCTTGGCTATGTCCTAGATGGTTGTATGTGAGAAAGCACTAGAAAATGTAGTGCAATGGTTATGCATGTGGTTTCTGGAGACAAAGCAGATGAATCTGAAGGCCAAATTCTACCTCTTTCCAAGTCGGGTGAAGTTACTTTATCTTTTTATGTCTCCATTTCTTTATCTTTGTAACAGGGAAATAAAAGTACTAGCAATTATATTGACCTCATAGGCTTGCTTTGAATCTGAAATGAGTTCATACCTATAAAACACTGAGACTAATGCCAATAGAAAATCCTCACTACATGTTAAAATGAGTATTGTCTGCAGTGTGCCACTGCGGTGCTGAGAGGTCACTATGGTCATGTGGGGCTCCTGGAATACAGTGAGACGCAAAATAGAAAATATCCAACACAATGGATGATACATACTTTGTAGGAGGTCAGCAAATATTTTTTGAATGAAGTAGTCTCGAACTCCAAGCTGCGGAGTTTCCTGGCCCCTCGCTCCCCTGCTCTGCAGTATCCCTACATCTAATGTCCGGTAAGTTCCTCAGGCTCTTCGCGCTCTATCTCCATCCCTCACCCCACAGACATTGAAGCCACCTTAGCTCTGTCACGCCCTCAACTCCAACCCCTCAGTCTCACTGCTCAACTGCAGGGACACAGACACATGCCCGCGCCTCACCACCAAACAGACACTCTGTCACAGGACAAGGAGCTCCTGCCTGTATCCTAGGAGACTACCCCACACCCCACACCCCTTACCTCCCACTCTTGCAGGTTCTCCTTGGGCTTACCTTACTGAAGGAGAAGACTGGAATGGCAGGCTCCATCCATTTAGGAACCTGAGGGTAATCTCGGACATTGATCACCAGCTCCATGTCAGGGAGGCGCCCAATGACCTCCAAAATGAAGTGTTCGACACCACTGCACCTAGCAAGCAGAAATGCCACAGATTCGCCAGAGCAGTACCTGCTCCGTGACAAGGCAGGATAGTGATCACCCTTTTACAGTGTGGGTGTTCAGACCATCACCCAACGGCAAAGTTGCCTGAAAGCAATGGTGCCAAAGGGACTGTCCCACTTTTTAATTTGTGCAGGTTATCACTCCCCTTATAAATCTTCTCCAGATAATTGATCACAGGTTTGGAGAGAGTCTCATTGCTACTCCTGCCACTCTTTCTACTCTATTTTATCCCATTTGTCCTTTATTTTGCTTCTAGGGGAGATCACAGTGAGTCAGCACCATACAAACTCTGACAAGAACTGGAAAAGCTCATTTTTAATCTGTTTCTCACAAAGACACCGCTCTTATTCCCACCGTGATTAAGTGTCCTGATTTATGAGCAAAGAAAGCAGATCTTTCATCACCTTTATCTTGAATACAGGACACTATGAAAATCAGTTTTTCAAGCCAGAAAAAAAAGATGGTTTTCTGACTATCCAGCCCAGGCCACCTCAAGATTTCTTGAAGGGCAGCCCTTAGGAAAAGGGCATCATGTGGCAAAGCCAAGGGTCAGGGACAAAGAGCCAGACCCTCAGGGAGCTGGACTGACGCCGCGGCCACAACCGCTGTGAGGACAAGCAGGGCCAGGCAGAGCATCATTCTGTTGACAGAGGGTCGCGCGGAGTCAGAACCTACGTTGTGGCCCCTGACCCCTGACGACAACTGGTCCCTCCACGGATCGTTCGGCTCATCCTTAAAATGTTTGACTTTATGTTAAAAGTTTTAAAATTGTTGGACACATTGGATTTTTTAAATGTCACACACGTTTCTGAAAATGGATTATGCTAAGCATAGCCCTAATGATGTCGTAGCTATGTGTTGGGCTACTAACCTCAAGGTCAGCAATTTAAAACCAGCAGCCACTCCACCCAAGAAAGATGAAGCTTTCTACTCCCATAAAGAGTTACAGTCGCGCACGATACCGGGAGGGTGGAAGTGATACCAAGAGGGTGGAAGCGATACCGGGAGGGTGGAAGGACAGTGGGGTGGAAAGGGGGAACC